CAAATCAAACTGGAAACACCATTACTCCATGAGTTCAAGGCAAAAAAAAGAAAGAAAGAAATTAATTTATTTAATCAACCAATGGATTTTATTTCTTGAGATTAATATCAAGGTCTTAATGTCTATTACTAAGCATGGAAAAAAAAAAAAAAATGAAAGAAAGAAATTAATTTATTTAATCAACCAATGGATTTTATTTCTTGAGATTAATATCAAGGTCTTAATGTCTATTACTAAGCATGGAAACCACCACAAGCATGAAAAATCAATCTCAAGTGACGGAATTTTCTCAAAACAAATAACCACAAGTCGGTTTAATGAAACACACTTAGATGCCAATGTTGGGACCCAATGAAATATTATTATTATTATTATTATTATTTGACAAGGGTAATGGTTAGGAAGTTAGTTTTAATTAATTGTTAGTAACTGGGGATTCAATCCCCAGATTGGATGAACATTCCACCCCTCAAATGAGGCGCGCGACCATTGGGCCACTTCGGTGAAGTTCAAGTTATCAAGACGGTGATAGAGCTCGAAACCCTGATCACCTCACCCAAGCACTTTAAGGCTTGGGGTCGAACCATTTGGCTTAAAGGCCCGGTTCCAATGAAATATTATTAAACCACCTATTCTTGTGAAAAAGTCAAGACCCTGCCCTTAGGAAGCAAAATAACAAATGCGTGTGACACTCTTGAACCATTGGCCCAATTCATTTTCACCGATTAAAATCCCTTCAACCTAAATTTAAAAAATGGCAAAGATATGTAAATACAATGACAAACTACAACCACTATTCTCATGAATTTGTCAAACACTTCAGAATCATGCAATGATATCTACAAACAAAGTCTAGGAACCAAGGGCAAGACCTATATTCAATTTTTTTATTCACGGTTTAGCTTGAATTATAATTTTCAAATTCATTGCCTTAACAAGAGAAAAAAGCATAACATAGGGAACTAAACACAAAGAAATCCTTCCATGAATGATGATAAAACCATACGAACAGCATATGCATATAACCATAGCATGATAAAGGCTATGAACATAGAAACTAAACATGATGCAAGAATAAAAATACAAGACACTCTAAAGAAGTCTAATAACTGAATTCATCTAGAAATCAATATGAAACAGGGTAATTTAAATGGTAATAAAGATAAAGACTTGAAGCCACAACTAAAATACAAGAATCTAATGAACCTTTCATTATTAAAATAAATGAAAGGGCCCCTAAATAAAAAAGGCAATTTTCTCAATGCACATGACCACAAGATAGTTTAAGAGAAGGCATTTGATTAAATGATACTTTCCATGGAATGAATTAGGAACAAAACCAATTGAAGAACATAAACAGATGGAACCAAGA